TCCACAGAGCTTTTTGTTGCTTGCTAAGGGGCAGTTTTTGTTGTAAAGGAAATGGCGGGTGAGCAAGCCCAGTCCAGCTGGCCGGGCACTCCTCAGTGCCAGGGAGCAGAGGCCATGAGTCAGTGATCTGCGGATTCTGTGTTGTTTTTAAATTTTTGAGTCAATATTTAAACATCAGAAGAGTGTATGCAAAAATACGGATCGAGGCTTCTCTTGAACAGTGCATAGATCTGACGCGTTCTGGAATCGCACACTTGCATGGTGCGGAGGTTCTGGCTAGCACAGCCAAAAGGCTGACCCCCTGTGGCCAGCAGGCACTGTCCTCCTGGCTATGGGTTTCTTGTCTCCCTGAGGTCACTCAGGTCCAAGTCCCTGTTTGTTGTGCAGAATGTTGTATGGACAAGGGACACCCCCACTGCAATTTTGTCTCAGCCACAACCACCTCCCATAGCGGTGGAGAAGACAGAAAACTCCACTGAGGGTACCAGTGAGCCAACTCCAGGGCATCCGGCTCCCAGGCCAGCGTATTCTCAGAGCTGCTGCCCATGCCTTGCGGACAGTATCCTGCTGACAAGCACTGCAAGTTTTCTTTCAGGCCGAGTGAGGTCAAGTTGGCTCAACCCACCCATATAAACATCAGTGAGCACCCCTCTGGATGGTATTGGCGAGAGATTTGTCCGCTGGAAGCCATAATTTATTTATAATCCCATGGAGTGTCCTCTCAGATTTCTTGGCACATCTGGGCTCTGAGCAAGGCTAATTAATCCCCCGCCGCCCCCCTCAGTGAGTGCCTGAGTAGGAATAATTGCTTATGAGAGGTGACGGGGGCACCTAAAGGCTCAAGGGAAATGATGTCATCACTGAGTGGCTGTCACTCAGGAAAGTGCTCTTGACCATGGCCTTGCTCCTCTCTGTAAATCTGCCTTTCCAATAAAAATACAATAAAACCTCGTTTCAAAAATTCTTTACTTATTTGAAGGGAGAGACAGGGGAGGGCAAGAGAGAGAAAGGACTTTCCATGTTAGTTCATTCCCCCAATGGCTGCAATGGCAGGTAGAGATCAGGAACCTGAAATCCACTCGAGTCTCCCGTGTTTGTACAGGGGTTCAAGCACTTGGGCCGTCCTCCACGGCCTCCCTAGGCCATCAGCAGGAAGCTGGATGGGAAATGGAGTATCAGGGACTTGAACTGGTGCCATATGGAATGCGGGCATTGCAGTTGGAAACCTAGCACACTGCACCATAACGCCTACTTCCACTTGATCTTAACCAAAAGGCCGAGAAACGATCCAGCTGTGCTCCTTAACTTCTACACTCTAACCCAGGCATCTTCCCGTTGACTTGAATGGTCCAGGATTATGAAGGTCAACGTCTTAGAGCCTGAGACTTCTAAGACCCAGAAAACAAGGTCCATAAGGCAAGCCAAGCACTGGCTCTCTGGCCCTGCCACACGGCTCAGTTCACAACTGCTAGACAGGACAACACATCATGGCATTTCACAAGCTGGCACAGAGCACTCCTCTGGGAACATATATTGATATCCCAGATAAACTACATTTCCCAACCTCCTGTGAGGCAAGGGAGGGTCAGGTGATTAAGTTCTGGCCAATGGAGTAAAAGCGGGTTTTTTTTTCTTTTCCTTTTTTTGCCCCTCTCTCCTTCCTGCTGGCTGGAATGTGGGCAAAATGCCTGGACTGCAAGGAGCCATGGTGGCCCCTGAGGTAGAAACTATAGGTTACTGAAACACGAGAGACAAGAGGAATAAATAAAAGGCCTGACAATTTACACTGTTGCTGTACCACTTCTGCTCTCCTGCATGAAAGCAAAAGAAATGTGTACTGTTCTTGATGTAGATACTTCCCGGGCAGGCTGTCGCTGTGTTACTGAGACGTCTGTCACTCACAGCCTGATCCAGGGCCCGCTCCCTTGCCACCACCCTCCAGGCATGCCAGTACTTCCTCCCAGAGGAGAAAGAAAACTGATGTGAGAAGCATGTGCCTGGGATGCCACTTTGACTCAAAGATTGGAGAGGAAAAACATCTTCCCTGTGGTATCTTTCCTAACGCTGAGTTACTCCCTGTCCCCTTTCTTCTTATATTAGAAAAACGCATGCATTCTGAGGACGGCTGGAGACGGTGCAGGCACAGCTCAGGCGCTCCTGTCTACGTGCCGCCAGATGTCTCTCCAGCCCTAGGCACTTTTGGTCCCCCTGTCCCCCACTGCTGTGGGAAGGATGCTTGCTGGTTGGCTGCTGTCCCAAGCTGTAGAGCAACCTCAGGGGCTACTTCCAGCCTCATAGACTTGGGCAAGCCACCTCTGGGACCCTCAGTTTCTTCCTCTGCAAGAATGCGGGTACCAGTAATTGCTTTGGAGGTGTGGCTGGGAGCCCTGACCAGAGTAGGGCATGCAGAAGGGGGAGGCTCTGTACCCCCATCCCCGGGCTCTGATCCCACCCTTGCAGACACAGTTGATCAGAGCCAATTCCTTAGACTGAACTTGCACTCAGAAGCAGGTGCACAAATAAGGGTGGTTTATTAGACTTCAGCATGTTTTCATTTGTCCATAGTGTACGAAGAATGGAACTCTTGATTAAAACAGCAAGGCTTGACAATCACTGTTTCTCAGGAGACACTGAGTGTAAGAACACACGTCACAAAGCAGTGACTTTGGCGAGATGCTCTGACTCTCAGAGAAGCTGGTGGAATGGAATGTCACCAGGTCAAGGGGTGGGGCTTCCCGGGTGCAGATGGCCCTGCTGGTCTTGGTGGTGAGCCACTTGCTGCTCCTTCCGACCCTCGTGTCCCCTGGGGATGAGTCAAGGAGAAAGACTGGGGAGATGCTGGTAGGGCCTGCAGGCAATGCTGACACCTGCTATGCCAGGGAGAAGAAGCAGCTCACAGGCCCTGGACCTTGGCCTCAGCCTCCAGCCAGAGCCTCCCGCCCCTGCATATTTCTATTTCATAGCCACTTTCTATTCCTGACTGCGAGTGAGACACGTTGTCCATTTCTGGCAGCAATAGAAAAAAAAAAATGTCCCCCTTTTTAAACAGGCTTATTTTTACTTTTGAACAGTGAATGTGTCTACAGGAAGACAGTTTGGTTAAAAAAAAAATACAAAATATGGCAAGTGAGGAGAATAGTGACCAAAGTAACCAAACGGCGCAAGGAGTCTTCCTAACAGGTGTACTGCAGCCGCGGGATGCTCAGGACAGTCACGTCAGGGCAACTTAACTCACCTGTAGCGGAGGCTCATGCATGTGCCTCTCGCCATGAGCAGGCACTAAAGGACTGAATGGAACAGGTCTAAGTCATCGACTCCTGCACTTACTCCAGCAGCTCTGGTGCCTGTGAGAGGCACTTTCTCTGTGACCCGGGAGGGTCGCACTTCTCAGAGCAGGTGCCACCTGCAAGGGGGAGTCAGGCAGGTGAATGCAGGTGAGCCAAGACCAGGCTTCCTGATGCCAAGCCCTGGTCTGACGAGCAAGGGAGGCGGCTCCTCCTTGGTGCACCAGTGCTGCAGCCCTACAGCTATTCCTGCCCACTTTCTTCCTTCCCTTCTAAGCCAGGAGGAGGCAGTTGAGAGTTGCCATGGAAACCGTCTCCATCCTCCCACAGGAGACTGCCAGCTCTGATTGCCTGCGGAGTTAAGAAGCAGGCAGCAGCGGGGTCACCCAAGCGTGAAGATGGGTTTCCCTGGGGATATCCGGCCTCCTGCCAATCACAGCGTCTGTCTGGGAACACCAGGGATGTGCCTGGAGCCTGCAGCCTGCCGGCTAGGGAAGCCCCCTAGGCCTGCACTGCTCTGAGGCAAGACCTGGCCTGGAGGTCTCTGTTCTCCTCCTCTCCTGGTGACCAACGTTGCTGTGTCTTGTTGGGTGCCATGGCCCTTGGGAGCACGTGGTTTTTCTAGACCACAGACAGCCGGCCCGCCCCCACCCCCAATGGAGCCAAGGGAGACAGAGCTGCCCATGGAGCATTTGCTCCCGTAACAACACACTGTGTTTTACCAGCTTACAGCCTTCAGTCTGTCTCATCCGAAAAGTGGGCACAATCGTCTTCTCTCCAGAGCTGCATTGCCAGAGGCCCACACACTGCTACAGGAATGGAAAGGGTACCCAAGAGGCAGGAACTGGACTTCATAAGATCTGCCGTCGCCATCGAGGGCTGAAGCTCTTTCTCCCTTCAGCTGCTTTTCTTCTAAAGGCCAAGACTGCAGCCCTGATATGGTGGTGTACTTGAGCTGGAAGGTGAGTTTGGTATGAGGCCCCATTAGCTGTCCCCTCAACGCTTCCTACATGGTCGCTTCTAAGAGTCAGAGCAGGGTCTCGAATGCAGAAGCAGAGCAAAACAAAACCCGGGTGAAGCCAGACAGCAAGTTCCAGAGACCCTAGCCAATGGCAGCCTGGTGTGATTCAATCTTCCAAGTAATCAACAGAAGCAGGGTCCTTTGAATTGAGTCTCCCGCCAAGGATGATGCGACGTGAACTTCGGCAACTGTTTCTCAAACAACAACTTGTGCCTGTGCTAGAAGCCCCCAGGTCCCACAGCCTTTTCTAGCCTGGCTAGAAGTCTCTGGAGCCCTAAGGTGCCTTGTGGCCACCCTGTTGGGAGCCCTCCTCCCACAGTGGCTCAGGGAACATCCCTCCCAACTGGTGTTTATAATCGCAGGGCACAACTATGCTCCCCAGAGTTCAAAGCTGGGAGGGTGTTTTTCTTCTCCTCATCCTGCACGCGCCGGCCTGGAGACCCCACCCACCTGCCTGCACTTTCTCCAGCACTCGTGGGAAGGGAAGATGAGGGCGGCATCTGGCGAATGGGACGCCTGGGAAAGCAGCTGTTTGGAGGGAGTGCCATGGTCAGGAACATGCTGCCGAGTTTCGACTGGCCTCTTCATGGCCAACGGCTGCCTGAAGGGCCGAGGATGGCACCACACAGTTGTCAGGGATGTTGAGGGCCTGGCAGTGAGGACTTCCATCTGCTTGTGTGGTTCTCATCAGTGAGAGGAGGATGCTGGTGGCAGAAGACGCCCGACCTGGGTGTACAGGTGCAACACCAAGTCCTCAAGGCTGCACACACGTTTCCTGCAATCATCTTTTCTCAGCGTCCTCTCTTTCCCCTCCCCTGGGTTCTGCTTCTTCAGAGAAAAGCAGGGAAAAACGGTGGGCGGCACCTGCGTCCAGGGCAGCCAGCAAGGTGGGAGATGGAGCAGCCCCGCAGCAGATGACCGCAGGCATATCTCAGGGCCGGAGGCGGTAGCGCACGGGGACCTCATGTTCTGGCTGCAGCAGGCCGAAGCCATACCTGCTAAGGTCAAACTCGGGCACCTCCACATCGGTGTCGAGAAGCTCCAGGTCAAAGTGCAGCAGCACCAGGGACACAAATCTGCAAAGAGATGGTGGCATTGGTGGCGTAGATGGAGTGGGGGAGGGCATCCGTCTGGAATAAGGGGGGCCGGCACCCCTGGGAGTAACTGGGTGCCTTTGCTCTGCTCCCTTCCATGTTTGCTGGACTCATTGAGGTCAGGCAGCGCTGGGTAAATTCAGGCTCAGGGGCTGTGGTAGGTGTCACTGCTACACATGGGTGGGACCCCTCTGACTGGCAGCCATGCAGACTTCACATTGAGAAGCCATGGAACCTGGTCCCACAGGCTCTGTGGGAAGGGAGGAGCCCCCAGTCCCACAGACAATGGGGTGTGGAAGGCAGCTCAACCGCAGCTGCCCTAGCCTGGGCTCTTAAAGCAGCCGGGCTGAGCACAGTTCACTTGCAACTCTTCTGAGCCCTCAAGCCCACACTCAGGCCCTTCCCCCCTCCTGCTTCCGTGAGCTCCTGGAAGCCTTTGGGTGTCTTCGTGGGGTCAGCAGCAGGCCCTGGGTTTCTCCAGATCTTCCCTGACATTGGTGAGAACGCTGCACCACACACCGGCCTTCAATAAGACAAATGTGCTCTACTGCCACCTGCAGGAACGCTGTCATCATGCCATGGGGCCAGCTCCCTGCATGGTCTCTCTCCTGCCCCTGCCATTGCTTCTACAGTGCTTCTACGAGAGCACTCGCACCCTGCCACCGTGTCCCACCCATCCACCTGACTCAAGGCCTAATGAGGACTGAACACAGGCGGGTATCCTTCACTCATGCAGGAAGCAGGCACAGAGGGCACCTGCCTCTGGACAAGGGAGCCAGGCACTTAGGGGCTTGTGGCCTTCATTGAGCTCCTTCCCCAACCCTGGGACTTGGCTTACCAACTACTCTCAGAGGGCAGAGGAAGAGTCCTTCCCAGATCTGGGGTTTGAAGGCACCACAGGAGTGTGTGTCATGTGTGAGTCTCGGAGCCCACACCTGGATGTGAATCCTGTACCTCCAGGTACCAGGTGCATGACCGTGGTCCATGACCTGGCATGTCCAGGTCCAATTTCAGGCAGACACTGACCAAGTCTGGATGCTACGGATTGGGGGAGATTCTGTAATGGATTGAAACCTGCTATGCTGGACGCAAAGCTTAGGATCCACACTTGCTTTCCATCTGTCCAAAGCCATGTAGGCGTGGGAGCAACAGTCAGCCAGAGCTACAGTGATTGTCCGAACACTTGACTCCATGCCAATGCTAATGATGTAGCATGGCAGGACTGGCGCCCAGCAGGAGCTTCATGGTAGCTCCCATACGAGATGGCACTACAGCAGCCAGAGAGAACACACAGCTCCCCATGGGGCAGCCCAGCAGTGCCGAAGCCCATGACCTGTCCAGGCGTACATCCCACACCGCTCTGCAGCCGGCCTCACTGCTTCTGAGCCAGTTAACCTGTGGGCAGAGGGCCCTGGCTTCTGAATGTCAAGTCCAGCTTCCTCGCTTCCATAACCTCAGGATGCAGACTGCATGCTGTCATGCAGGATCAGTGTTAGGTGTTGCAGTAGACCCAATTACATGATGATGTCCATTTTCCAACTGAGAAAACTGAAGCCTGAAGGTGAATATGCCTATCTGCTTAGCATCACAGTTGCATGTTCATAATAATATGTCGCGTGCATCAGATGTCTACTGGGAGCTGGGCAGTAGGTTAAGTAAGATTCATCTTGTCCTGACACCCCTGGGATGTGATTAAAACCCATATCTTGTTGCCACAGCTGACAGCAAACCCAGGCTAGAGGGGACAAGGCACATGGCAGAACGTCCAGTCCAATCTGTCTGTGACCCTGGGGATGAAGGCTCTGGGGGCCTAGGAAGAGGATGCTTGAGGTTCCCAGCCCCCACAGGCTGACCAGAGCCAAGCAGCTCTGCGCACCCAGCAGTAGCTGCAGGTGGATGCTATGGTTAGCTGAACACGCGTCCACATTTGGGTGGGAACGACCCACTGCCAGATCAGATCATTTCACATGAAACCAGCAATCTGGCTTTTATGTGAGCTCTTGCAGTTTTTAGGTTGGCATACATTTTGCAAAAAAAAAAAAAAAAAAAAAAGAAAGAAAACACAAATAAATAGATCTGTGGGCTGGACAGGCTCCCCAGCTGGCCACGGGGCGGCTCAACCCTAAACCCTAAACTCTCCAGGGTGTAGCTCGGGTTCTCGGGTGGGCATGCCAACCACAGGGAGGAGAAGCAGTCAGCCGGCCCCCACTCACTGCCCAGCCCTGCCCACTAGACCCCACCCCACCCCAGGCTCCACCCTGACCCCACATCCCACCCAGCCCCTGCCCCACGTACTGCTTGATGCTGTTAGTGGCGAAGGTCCGTCCCAGGCACTGGTTGTGCCCTGCTCCCCAGGGCAGGCTGTAGTTCTTCAGGCGTTTTCCGTCCTTGTAAAAGTCTTTCTTCACTGAGCCATCAGGGTTCAAGAATCGGTCATACTTAAATACCTAAAACAGTCAGAAGGCTGGTTTGGGGCTCCATTCCCACCACAAGTGGGCCCTGAGGAAACTACGTGAGGATGCTTCTCCCCATCTGCTTGATGGAAGGCCGAGGAAGCGTGAAGGCCAACCGAGAGCTGTGAGTTCTGGCAAGTAGAGGCCTCCTGTGGCTGGCTGTGCAGCCACACAGGCAGTTCCCTTGGATGCTGTTTGATCTCAAATTGCACGGATCTGTCTGCGTGTGAGCGTGTTCCAGGTATGACAACTCCAAGGGCACACGCTAAACCAAGCTTCAAGAATTCTTCAGGTACTTTGTCTTTGAGACAAAGGGACATAACTTTTTTTTTTTTTAACTTTTAAATGTATGTTTCTTTTTTAACCTCCATTTTGTAAGTATATATTGTTCTGTTCATGTACAACAATTTTTTTTTAAGAGAGAATGCCAATTGCCTTTAGTTAGATTGCTGAGTGATAAGGTTAGCACTGCGTTTGAGCCCAGGGATTGACTAGGAATGAAAAGATGGTAAAAGATAGGAATGGACCAGTGGGTCAATTAGTGGTAGGTGGACGGATGAGTGGATGGAGTAGGCAGATGGATGGATGGATGGATGGACGGATGCATGGAAGGATGGATGGATGGGTGGGTGGGTGGTGAGCTGATGGATAGATGAATGAGTGGATTTATGTATATATGGGTAAATGACTGTATCAGTGATGAATGGATGAACAGATGGAGGAGATGGGTGGATGGATGCATAGAGTGGTACATGGATGGATGGATAGATGAATGAATGAATGAATGCCTGGAGAGATGGATGGATGGACATGGGAGTAGAGGGGTAGATGAGCTGAAGGACAGATGAATAAATGGATGTATGCATGCATGGACAGAAAGATGCATGCATTGACTGTCAGTGATGGGTAAACACATGGGGTAGATGGGTGGATGGATGATGGCTGGATGAGCATGTGGTATGGGACCTAGATTACTATCTGGTAAACATCCAACGGGCAAAGTGTTGAAACCCTTGGGTACAAGACAATCAATGGTCACTGCCAGGCACTTGGAAGGCCTTTTCATCACCTTCTCTCATTTGGTCATCCAGTCTACCCTATGAAGCAGCAGGAGTGGCCATCAGGCCTATATCACAGATGAGGCAGCAGACACGGGGAGGCGGCACCAGGTGACACAGCCTGGGTGGTCACATGGCAAGCAGACAGAGGCATGCCTGCCCCCTTCACAGCCCCTCATGTGCCATACATCCTACACTTACCTCTGGGTCTGGGTATATCTCTGGGTCCCTCTGGGGGCTCAGGAAGGGAAAGAGAAGGAGGCGGTCACCACGTCGCAGGGCAAATTCCCGCCCATCTGCCAAGGGCAAGGCCATGTCCGTCACGACCTCACGGGTGATGAAGGGTGCAGCCGTGAGCCTGAGGCTCTCACTCAGTACACTGTCTGCACGGGGCAGGAGCAAGAGAGAGTCAGTGGGTAGCCCTCTCACCTGCTCCGATGCTACCCCTGCCCTCATTGCACAAGGGAAGATAAGGCAGCCCAGAGAGGCAGCATGACTTGCCCATGGTCACACAACAAGGGGAGAAAAAGCAATGAGATGTGGTCTTTGGGGTCCATCAAAGACTCCCCAACATGAGTGGCTCTGGGCCTGACTCAGAGAAGTTATCAGGACCTGGGGAGGAAGTGGGGCCATGAACAGCAGTGATTTCCACCAGCCCAGCACACTCTCCCCTTCGGGACAGGAGCTCCACCATCCTCCGCAGGAGGGACCAGCCCTCCCACCCCCAGGGATCAGGGCTATTGATACTCTCAGCTGCTGGGGTGGGGCCCTGACCCGGCCAATCTCAGAAGCCTTCTGAGATCCAGGATTTGTTCGGGATGGGGCATGCAACCCAAGAAGAACCAATGAGACGCATCCTTGGGACTCTGTGAGGGAATGGCATGAGAGGCAAGTCCTCCTCGGCGGTCCAGGGCAGTCAGCCGCAAGCTGCTAGCAGCTGGAGACAGGGGCTGAACCAATGTGAGTCTTGGTGACACTGTTCAAGCGGCTAGATCCACCTCTGCCTAAAGGCAACACCCCTGAACTTCCTAGTGACACTGTCTAAATAGTCCCCTGTCCTGGACCCACCATGATGGCGCAACTGGCTAATCTTCTACTTGCAAATGCCAGGATCCCATATGAGTGCCAGTGCATGTTCTGGCTGCTCTACTTCCCATCCAGCTCCCTGCCAGTGGCCTGGAAAAGCAACAGAGGATGGCCCAAAGCCTTGGGTCTCTGCACCTGCATGGGAGACCCAGAAAAAGCTCCTAGCTCCTGGCTTCAGATTGCCTTGGCTCCAGCCTTTGCAGCCATTTGGAAAGTGAACCAGTGGGTGGAAGATGTTTTTCTCTGTCTTTCCTTCTCTCTGTAAATCTGCCTTTCCAATACAAAATAAATCTTAATAATACATATATTTTTTAAGTTCCTGTCCTGTTCAGCATGTTTTTAAGTTGGCTTTTCTGTTACCTGCAACCAGAAGTCTATGGAGACCTTGAGCCTGGACAGAGGCCATGGGTGTGGAGTTGCTGAGTCAGGTGGGGTGAGACAGGGCTGGGGCGAGGGGCAGTTGGGTCCTGTGAGGGGCGGGGCTATGGGGAGCCCCTAAAGGCCCAGTCCTGGGGGCTGTCTTGGAGGATTAGCCTATCTCACCAAGCACAGGCATGTTGTCTAGAATCTTCTGTGGAAGGGCAGTCCTCTGCAAGGCTGGCTGCTCCAGGGTTCGCTCGAGCTCACGGCGGACGGCAGCCAGGGCCTCGGGGTTCTTGAGGAGGAAGAGCAGCAGCCAGAAGGCGGCAGGTCCCATGTTCCCCTGCAAAGGGAAGGAGCCGGTCAGGCCACGAGGGAGCAGAAAGGAGCGCTCTGTGCCATGGACACAAACCTGGCTGAAGCCTAGGGCACGGTTGAGGCAGAAGGGGGTTCTCAAGCCTGCCAGCAGCAGCTGGCTGACAAACGGGAGGCAGGATGAAGAGAACAGAGGCAGGACAGTCGAGGCCCTACAAGAGCTCATGGGTTTTCCCCTGTCCAGGAGCCCAAGAAGTAGACGAGACTCGGGGCACACAGCCCGGTGGGTGAGACCAGAGCTAACTGGCATGCACCACCGAGTATTGCTGAGTGATTGTTATGCCACAACAGCTGGCTGGCACATCGTCCACAGCTCTGCTTCCAAGCTCAGTCATCCTTAGCACAGTCCAAGAGGCAAAATTTCATATGTGACAATGCTCTTGGCCCCTTCAACGAATAAGTGGGGGGGGGGGGGGCGAAAGGTGTGTGTGAGGCAAAGCAGTACAGACCACGAATGACCACAGGAGCCATCAGTTTCTCAGACAAAGATCATACTGCACTTCCTAACAGATTAAACAGGGAAGCGCCTGGCGCCTCTGCCTCCAATGCCTGCTCCCTCACTGAACATCCCTATACCCATTTCAGCCTCAGCTGCTCGGCGTTCATCAGTGGTCCAGACGTGCGGGGAAATCGCAACTAGCTTCGGTGTGAGAGAAGGCCTTTGTCTACCAGAGGCGACTGCCCTGTCCACCCGAGTCACTAGAGCATGACACCATCATTCAACGTTGCTGACGCAGTCATTCTGTAACCGACATAACCGCACATGGGCAGGAAAGCGCCGGCAGGGAGGGGTCAGAACAAACACTTGCAAGCAGGACCCACATTCATCAGCATGGCCAACGAGAGGACCCACGGACGGCCACAGGAAGTAGTGCTGCCTGCACTGACCTGCCTGGGCTAGCTCTGTAATTTCTTTATCTACAATGATTTTGCAATAAAAGCCAAAGCTCTTGTTCTTCCTACATCCTCTTTACAGAGTGAGATGGACGCCTGGGAAGAGAAGCGGTGACTGGTTCAAGGTCGCCAGGCAGCGGCAAAGCCGGAACTCCACCCTGGTGTGTGCCTGGCGCTGCTGCCGCCCCCTCATTCAGCTGAGCTGGGGTGCACAGGAAGGGGAACCCACAGCCCCTGCATGCCCCCCGTCCCCGGACCTTTCCAGCACCATGAAGAGGTGATCAGGAAGAAGGCAAAGCAGGCACAGGCAGGGAGGAAAGAAACGTGACTGCTGGGACGCCTCCTGACAGCTGACGGCATGCACGTGGACAGAGCAGGACAGCAGGCCACCCGCTGCCTGGCCGCTCAGGGCTGGAGGGAAGCCTGTCCTGCGTGGACCCCCTTCTGCCCCTCAGCCCACCTCCTCCCTACTTCTCAGAGCCACCTCCGCCCCTTCCCAGACCTCAACTCCCAGGCTGGAGGATTCTCACGTCCACTCCCACGTCCTCATGGGGGACCCTGCTTCCACCCTGACTCTTTTACTTACAGTCCTCGGGCGTTCCCACTTCGCCCAGAGGAAACTCCAGGCCCTGGCTGACGGGGACCTGCTGGGCCCTGTGGTCTCATGCTTCAGCTTTGCTCTGCTTTGGGCTATTTCTAAATACCTGGCACGCCCCACCCCTGGGCCTTCGCGCCGCTGACCCCCCAGAGTGGAACACTGTCCCCCGTGTCTCCAGCAAGTTCCCAAGCCGAGAGGCCTCCCCGCCCCCTCCACCAGGAGACCTCCCCCCCCCCGGATCTCCCAGCTCCCAGGCCCCGTTTTCTGTCCTGCACATCAGCACCTCCAATCTCTCAGGCCTGTTCCTTTCCCTGCTGCCCCTTTGCCTCCCATGACCAAAGCGGGGAGCAACATGAGGCAGGGCCTTGGAGGTGGGGAGTGAGCCCTCAGTATCCCAGTGATTCCTCTAAGCCACAGTCTGCACGTCTCAGTGTCAAGGTCGCGAAAACCCATGAAGGGCACAGAAATGGTGCCAGGCTCTAGAGAACAAAGGCTGAGTTAGCAGATGTAATACATGACCCTGGACAAGACGCTAAGCCAAGACAGGCACAAGAGGAGGTGCCTGGGACATGGGACAAAACAGGATGACGGTCCTGACATGCAGTAATCATCCTGACACTGTTTCTTGTTCTGTGGTCTCCTGGGAGACGTCCACGGAAGAGACAAAGCCTAGAGCCTGGCTGTCGGCAGCGCGTTCCCGGTTACCCAGCACAGTCACGCCCACGGGGGACAGGGACGAGGCACACGGCAGCCAGTGTTCACCAGTGGGGACCCTGGTGAAGCCTAGAGAGGAATTCACAAAGCTGTTGCTGAAACTCAGCTGTAGCCTAATACATTTTTCCAAAAGAAAAGCAAAGGCCACTGCATGGATGTGTTCCTGGGGCAGACGGCAGCCACACCCGCCCTCACTCACATACAAGCTCACACATATGCCTGCAGTGTTTGGTCATACACACACACCACACACGTGTCCACACCCACCTGTGTGGCCCAGAGCTGCAGCACCAGAGCCCGTGCCTGCATCTTGTCCGACACGCCCATCTCCTGCAGGTGCAGCAGGTAGCTCTCCAGCCAGCTGCTCCGCTGAGCTCGGGTGGCCAGCGTGGTTGGGGACAGCAGCTTCCACAGGCGACTTTTGACACTGCACGCAAGGTCCTTATCCCCTGCATGGACAAAACACACAAGAGGAGAGTTTCAGATTTCTCCCCCCCGCCAATCTGTGGCCACCTGGCCCGGGCCTCTCGGGAAGTCACAAGCTCTTTGAGCATCACTCCATGAGGATGTGTGCTTTCTGTGCGAAAGAGGCCAGGGTGGCTGAAAACTCCGGCAGGAAGTCCTAGAGAGGTGGCCTTCTCATGATGTGCCACCCTCAGGAGCCGGGGCCTTGTCCCTTGCCAGCTGGAGCCTTGTCTGTTTTGTTCATCTGTCTCCAGTCCTGGGCCCCAGGAGGTGTGCAGTAAAGATGCCCTCAATGACTGGGCAGGGAAAGAAGCTGGAGCAGCATGCCCCTTTCCCACGCCTGACTCAGAGCAGGAGCAGCCCACACGGTGGGCAGACTCAGGGCAGCACTGCTCACAGGAAGACGATGGAAGTGGTCCTTCATGGGGGCATGTGTCTGGCGCAGGGGGTAAGCTGACACTCAGGAAGCCTGCACCCCATAGCCATGTGGCTGGAGCCTGGGTCCCTGCTTGCTCCTAATTGCAGCTCCCCACTGACACGTACCCTGGGAGGCAGCAAGAGGTTGAGTCAGCAGTCCAGCCGCAGTCATGGTGGACACATGGGGCGTGACCCAGTGAATGGACATGTGGGGCGTGACCTAGCAGATGAACACGTGGGGCTTGACCCAGCAGATGCGTCTCTCCGCTTTCCAAATAAGTATGAATAAGCACAAAGAAAAAGAAACAGCCTGGCGGGAAGGCAGGCATCCAGGGAGAACACAGCTGGGTCTCACACCATCTCCAGGGAGGGCAGGTCCAGGAGCAGGCCCTGGTGAACTGAAGGGTCCTGGTGGCCCCAACTCAGCCCCTAGAGCAGCTGCTTGGGCACGGTGGAGAAGCAGGTCCAGCATGGTCAGGGTTGGCATTTTCAAAACAAGCAGAGTCCCCTAGATTTTTTTTTTTAATTTTTAAGATTTTTAAGATTTATTTATTTTTTATTGAACTGGCAGATCTACAGAGAGGAAGAAAGACAGACCTTCCACCCGCTGTTTCACTCTCTAAGGGGTCTCTACAGCCCAGAGCCAAGCCAATCCGAAGCCCGAAGCCTCCTCCAGGACTCCTATGCAGGTACAGGATCCCAAGGCTTTAGGCCATGCTCTATTGCCGTCCCAGACCACTGGCAGGGAACTGGATGGGAAATGGAGTAGCCAGGACATGAACTGGCACCCATTTGGGATTCTAGCACGTGCAAGGTGAGGATTTAGTCCCTGGGTCATTGCACCAGGCCCAGAATCTGCTGATGTTTAAGGATGGCATCCAAGTGAGATTTCTAACCACTGGGCAGTTTACAAGAGCGGCTCTGGTGTTCAGCAGGTCTGACATTCCACAAGCCCCACACAGTGGGAAAACTGAACCCCACGCAGACACCGATGGGCCTCAAGGCTGCCTGCTAGGGGGATCAGGGAAAGCTGACGGCCCTGCCTGATGGGTCCTTCTACACACAGTTTTAGGCCACACGGTGATGCTCCAAGGATACACAGACACACAAAAATGGTTTTCTTGAGTCACCTCCAGCAAGAGAGGGAGTCACCTTGAACGGCCATGCAGTTCTGGCGTGTGAGAAACTGTCCCCCTGACAGTGACCTCCAAGCCCGTATGCCAGAAGGTCCAACTGCCTGGCTCTTCCTCTGGCTGCACATCATAGCATCTTCGAAAGGGAAGAAGATGGCGGGTGCACTTATCTTCCTAAGGAAGGCAGGGGACAGGCACTTGGACTAGTGGTAAAGCACCAGTTAAGATGCCTGTGTCCTGCATCAGAATGCCTGGGACCCACGCCCAGCTCCAGCTCCTGACTCCAGCTTCCTGTCATCGCGGACACTGGGATGGCAGATGATGGCTCAGCTGCGCCTCTGCCGCCCCTGGCTCCTGCCCAGGGCCTTGGTGGGCACTTGGGGAGAACTCTGTATCTCTCTCTCACACACCCTCCCTTCTCCCTTTCTACCGTCATTCTCTGCGTTCTGACCACACAGCTGCCGTCATGAACATCTTTAATGGCCGTGAGCACAGGAGGGCGCCAGGGAGCGAGACGCAAACTCCAACTCAGGTGCTCTGGGAGAGCCAAGGACAACAGTGGCATCATACACCTGTCCCCTGTTTTCCCTCCAAGAGGCAGTGCAGCCTTCTATCAGATGCTATGATTCTTTGAGTTAAGAATACCTCTTCCTCAAAGCAACATTTAAATAAAATGCCCAGAAAGTACCACCCACTTGCCAGGGGCTCTCTAACTGCTCCCCCACCACATTCCCTGCTTTCTGCAGAGAGCACCGGGCTGAATGGTCGAAGGTCCCAGAAGGCCAATTTTCTTCTGAAATACATTTACTTTTTAAAACACGGGGACACAATGCATACACATGGTTGGTAACAAAAGGAAACTGTTGACTCTTAAATTTAAAAAAAGAAAAGCTAAAAAAAAAAAAAACCCTGTAATTCAAATGGAAATAATGTACAAAGTAAATTTATTTCCACCCTATCCCTATCTTCTCCAAAGCAAAATCCTCTCTCTCTCTCTCTCTCTCTCTCTCTCTCTCTCTCTCTCTCTCTCACTGTAAAACCACGTCACTGGGGGCGGGGGGAGGGGTCTGCACCTTGCGCTCCTCTTGGCACAGATTTCTTCCTATCCAGAACATTGCATTCTGCCTCCCAGCTGCATAGTTTGCCTTTATATGGATACACGTCTGATAATCCCTCCTGGTGGACATTCACGTCATTTCCAGCGTCACTGTTCCGAGCAACACGACACCAAGGACCTTAACCTATCTGCACACGTGTGCAGGCACCTGTGCAGGATAACGGCCCAGAAATGAAAGGGTGGGAACAAAGGATGTGCCGAAAGAGGCTGCACAGCCTCACCGCCTCCCCCTCTCATCCGAAAACCTCTCATCCCATAAACGTGGCCAACTTTGTCCCCACGCCTCTGGCCCCAGCCCCAAATCAAACACCGCTCCTCAACACCGCCACCTGCTGCCCACACCGGGAAACACAACCCTCCCACATGGAACCCCAGGGGGTGAGGAAGATGATGGAAGTTACCCAGACACCCAGGCTGCCCAGGGGTCTCTGAGCCCAAGACAGCGCAAGAGGGAAACCCGACAGTCCCTGGAGAAGCAGTCAGCGCGAGGACACGGCAGGTACTTCCTATGCACAGAGATTTTGTGAAGTTTCTGTTTTGTGTCTAAGACAAACGGTTTGACTTCTGAGTGTAGGCTTCCTGACCCCTGTTACTGCTTAAGTCGTTTTTATCATTGATTTTCTAGGGTTTGCCAGGTCCGGGATCAGACCATCTGCAAGCAGGGATGGTTTCATTTCTTTACCCATTCTTATCTCTGTCATTGATTTCTCTTGTTGAACAGCACAGGCTAATTCCTCTAAAAGACTTGATGTTAACCAAGGACCACGGGGTACTGTTAGAAAATCCCCATGTTGCAAATAATAGATAAAATCTCTTCCTAAACATGCAGAGACAAATATACAATGCATTTGTTTCTATTTGTGAGAACATAGAAAATTGTGTGTGTGTGTGTGTGTGTGTGTGTGTGTGTGTGTGTGTTGGGGGTGCTGTGCGGGTGCTGCAGGGGTGCTGTGGGGGTGCTGGGGTGCTGTGCGGGTGCTGCAGGGGTGCTGTGAGGGTGTTGGGGGTGCTGTGGGGGTGTTGGGGTGCTGTGGGGGAGTTAGGGTGCTGTGGTGGGGGTGCTGTGTGTCAGTGGGCTAAGCCACAGCTTGTGATGCCAAAATCCCCTATCAGAGCACTGGTTCAAGTTCTGATTATTCTGTTTCCCTCCAGCAAACACACCTGGGGAGGCAGCAGGAGATGGCCCAAGTGCTTGGAACCCTGCCGCCCATGTAGGACCCCTGGATGGGGTTCCTGGCTCCTGGCCCCTGGCTTTGGCAAGACCCAGTTCCCACTTTTGTATCCATTTGGGGGAATAAACCAGTACCTCACAGGTCTGTGCATGTGTGAGCTGCAAACATGGCCTTCCAGGAGCGGGGAGCTGGGCTTGGGCGAGCGGATACTGTTACTTTGCGTCTCTGAAACAATAATGGCAAGATTCTGCTTCTTTCACAGTGAGGTTCACCTGCGCTTCTTGTGAATACAGGCAGGAATAAGGAGGCCGACAAAGAAGCGCTTTGAACTCTGAACTCCAAAGAGCTCAAGCTGGTCTGGCACACAGCAGCCCTCGGCAAACAGGGTTCTCTGCTCTCTCAGCCCAAACAGTCACTCTCTGAGGAAGAACCTACCACTCTGCCCATCCTACAGGTGAGATCACTGAGGCAGAGACAGACCACACAGATGCGAGGAGGTGGAATTAGGAAACCACCTCAAGCCTCTAGACCACAAGAGCCCGAGTCGGCCTTAATCATTCCCTTCAGAGAGAGGTGCTGGGGCAGGAAGCAGTGACCCCCCCAAGTCAAGCCTTCCCCCTCAGCAAGCCTCTGCTGCAAGAACTTGCAACCTCGACACACATGCTCCGCTCAGCTTTCTCACAACACCCAGCAAGTGGGAGATTTGATTTCACACGGGCCCTGTGAGGCTCAGAACACACATTATTAACCAAGACCCCTACCTGCCCCCAGGGGACCCTTCTCCGCAGGAAGTCTCAGACGCCGAGGCCCAGGACCCCATGGCGCCGGGACACAGAATCCCTACCAACACCAAGTCCTCTCTGTGGACCTGAAAGCGGGTGGGGTAGAATTCTACTCCACGCTGATGTGGAAATGCTCAGTGAGAGCTCCCCACGACAGGGCACTTCTTCGCGCACGGCACCTCCACGTCACGAGAGCGCAGGACGCTGCCTCCATTGGAGAGCAGTGGGCTTGACCCTGCATCCCCTGGAACGCCTGTTCAAGTCCCAGCTGCTACACTTGCAATCCAACTGCCTGCTGATACGCCTGGAAGACAGCAACAGTGGCTGCCATCGGTTTGGGAGACCTGGCTGGAGTTCTGGGCTCCTGCCTCCTGACTAGGGCTCAACCACAGTCCTTGTGGCCACTCGGGGGAGGTTTCTCTGTCTGTTCCTCTGTCACTCTGCCTTTCAAATAAATAAATCTTTTTTTTTGTTTGTTTTTTTAGTGCAAAGTTGTGTATTCAAAAGGAAGACAACAGACAATTCTGCACCTGCGTGCGTAGTTACCTGCTTAGAGAAAGCTCTGCCAGGATCTACCCCAAGCTAACAACACTGGCTACCTCTGTGGACCAGGATGTTTGGCTGGGCGGGGAAGAAAGTAGAAAACTCTTTTCTTGTTTTATAATAAGCACGAACAACATGCAAAAATGATAAGGCACACTCACCCACGCCCATGATTCTTATGCCCTACTCTGTGCTGGCTCAGAAATTCTAGCTCTGGTCTAAGTCCTATTTTCCCAGCAACAGGAATCCTACCACATCCCAGGGCATCCCACGGTCCTCCTGCCCATGTTGTGTTTGATGCCTGTCTGGGGAGGCCCCAACAACCCCCCGGGACCTGCATGGAGCTTACCTGCCGACAGGGAGCCTTGAGCCAGTTTTGGGAGCAGCAGGTCGAGCTGGCGGAAGGTGTGGAAGACCTCGGCCGAGTGGGTGCGATCCTGAGCCTGGCTCTGCTGGGTGCGTGGTGAAGCCTCCACTCCATACAGGGTCAAGTAGCCGGCCCTGGCGACAGCAACAGCAGCCCGTGGGCCTTCCTGGACGCTCACGGCCAAACCCTCATGGTGGCCCAAGTGCTTCTTCCTTCATTCGTTTACCTGGAGTATACCTGCTATTTCTGCTGGTGCTAGACTGCTCTGGGGATGGTGGCTCAGGGCGGCCCGCCTGATCGCTACGCTGTCCCTCAGTGGACATTCAGGGTATGAACATGGGATGATGGCTGGATGTGGTCGGCAGGGGGACCACGGATGGCTGGTTAGACTCTCACTCTGGGAAGCCAGAGCTTGGGAGAGAATGGTGGGCGTTATGCTTCCAACCTCAGAGCCCTCCAGGCCACAATTCCTATTCCCTGCTTTCCCCCAGAGCTCCCTCACGCAGCCTAAGCCTCCACGCCGGCAGGAACCGGGAGCTGAGAGCAGCTCCTGGCCCAGCCCAGTCCAACCAGGAAGGCGTCCTCCCCGGGCGTGGTGAGCAGCACGCGTGGCCTCTAGAGGGCGCTCGGCGCCGCAGGGAAAACCAGCGTGGGCAGGAGGAGCTGCAGAGGACGAGGTGGGAGCGTGGGTGGAAATGGCAACATGGGTGATGCGGGGGTGCCAGGGAGCAGTACTCCCCGCGAGGGGCAGAAGCAGCCAGGAGCCTGCGCGGGGTGAGGGGCGGCAGAGGCACCTGCTGTCTGCAGATGCTCCACCCTCGTCTCACCCCTGCCTCTCAGCCTCCCACCCGATGTCTCTGCCTTTGCACACGGACATGAGGTGGACACAGTCCTTGGGAGTCTGGGAGATGTCTCTAGATCCTTCCAGGACCGGACCAGTGACAGCCTTGGCTGCTCTGTGCGCTCCAGTGTGCGAGCAAAGGAAGGGACCTCACTTCCACACACAGGGGTTCATGGCTGACGCTGCAGACTCGAGCCAGCGCTGCGCCAACCCAGCTAGGGACCCCAGGGCAAATGACTTGGGTGCTACTGAGCCTCGGTTTTCTCTTCTGTCAAATGGGTGTGGAGAGAAGCAGCTCAGGGAGCGGTCAGTGAGTCACACCCAGTCTTCAGCCTGGAGCCCTTGTCCATCTGGCTCCACGAGCCCCTGGATGCTGGCGCTCCATTGCAGGGATTCCTCCATCACATTGGTCCCTCTCTGTTTCCCCCTGGAGGAGCGGCTTTGTGAGTGCCCGATCCCGCTGCATCCCACAATGGGAGGCAGGACAGCCCATCTCTAGTCCAGATTGACAAGGTTAGGGTCTTAGGTTGGTCACTCCTGCTGCCCGAGTCTTGTCTGTGTGGTCTGTGAAACCCCAAAGCTGGGAAGCCATGGGACACAGTGCTCTCTGCTTCCTCTGCTCCCACTCCACGTGACCTGAGGTCTGTGCCCACTGGTGTCTCCTTAGCAAGTCCCGGCTTACGGGGTCGGGGGTAGGGGAGACGCGTGTGCCGACAGAGACGCAGTGTCTCCCTTGTAGCCTTTGCCCCAAGCCTTCCAGACCACCTCCCCCACCCGCCAAGCCTGTGCAGCCCTGGCCCTGCAACTGGCGTCTAGCCCAGAACCAGCAAGCTCACCTGAGCAGGGAGCTGTAGGCAAACTCAAGCAGCCCTGCCTGATGCCAGCCGCCACCTGCGTCGCCCAGCAGGACGGTGCGGAGGTTGCTGTCCATGGCCTCTGTGAGAACCTGCAGGTCTCTGTGGAGCAGAGTCCTAAGACAGGGAACCGTGAATGTGAGCGACACGTCTCCCCATCTCCCCGCCCATCACAGGCACCTCCCCTCCAAAGCTGCTGACAGCCGGGCCCGACGCCTTCAGCACCGTCATCGCCAGTCACGGGCGGCAGTTACCGTTTGCCATGCTAAGTGTCATTATCTCATTCCCTCTTCGGATAAATCTAAGGGGTAACTGTTGCTCTCACGACACTGATTTTACAAAGGACAAACTTGGGCTCAGAGAGGAAAGTGATCTGCTCCAGGCCACACGCCTGGAAGTGGACGGTGGGCAATGAGATGGATCCTTCCAACTGCACGGTCTGACTCTGCACTGGGATGGTTCGGCCCTGCCTGGGAAGGAAGGAGCCAACTCTCTCCCTGCAGTGAAAAGCTGGGAGACCTTCCTGATGCTGAACTCCTGGGATTGAGGACTCGACTAGGAGACATGAAAGAGAGGAACCCAGGCTCTCCCAGCTCTTGTGCATGGAGCGAGAGCAGCAAGGGATCCATCCCTACCATCATAGGGTGGAGCACAGGCAACGGTTAGCAGTGCCACCTGGTGGCCACAGCAAGAACAGTGGCGAGTTCCAGCGCTTTCACCACCTGCTGACTGGGAGAAGGAATTCTTGAGTTAGCCTGGGATGCTTGGATAATTCACCTGGGAAATCCCTCAGAGGAGATACGAGAATTCCCAGGAAATAGTAGCTTTTGGACGTTCATGTTGACCACTGGCAAATAAATAAGAGGCACGATCCACGTGAACTCATGTGATGTGAAGGGCTTGGCACATTGCAAGTGCTCCACAGACAGGTGCGGGCCCTGGGCCTGACCCTGACCCAGCTGCTCCGCTTACTCCACTCCAAACACCAGTCCTCAGTGGAGACAACGGCCCTCAACAAAGGTGGAGGCCATGTCTGAGAGCCCTCACACGAGCTTGTGAAGAATTCTAGACATTCTTGGAGCCAACACTGAGGACACCAGAGTCCTCCCAGGGGGTGGGGGGAAAGGAAGCCATGAACTATGGACTCCTGTTGTTAAAGGGTCTCCAGGGAGCCAGCCTGGGACAGGAGAAGACAGGACACCCAGGCTCAGAGACTGCTGGCCATTGTCCCACGGGCCAAGGTCAACTCATCTGAGTGCTCTCCACGTGCGCCTGGCACCTTGGCTTCCATTGTCCTGCCACAGAGAAATTTCTCGATGCTCTTCCTAACTCCCCGGGTTCTTCCTGCACACAGATCGCTGAAGATCACCTGGACCTGTGAGCTCTGTGGGCTCTGACTGGTCCCATAGCTCGGGCAGAAGAGAAAGGACGAGGGGGTCTGCAGGCCCAGGTTCAAATCCCAGCCCCGTCACTTATTAGCAGTAGATCTCAGGCAAGTCCCTTCATGTTCTTCATCTTTAGAATAAGAACAGAAATTCCCAACTCGAGGTTGATGCACAGGCATGTACACGCCCCTGTGAGGACCAACATGTTGGTAGAGAGGAGTGAGCTGGCACCTGTAATGTCAACACTCCCCACTGGACCACAGGTTCAAGTCCCAGCTGCTCCGCTTCCAGTCCAGCTCCTTGCTGATGCATCTGGGAAAGCAGTAGAAAAAGTCCCCACATCCTTGGCCCCTGACACTCCTGTGGGAGACCTAGAGGGAGTTTTGGGCTCCTGGCTTTACCTTGGCCATTGTGGCCATGTGGGAAGTGAACCAGCAGATAGAAGATCTTTTTCTCTAACTTTAAAATAAATAAATAAATCTTAGGAAGTGAAAGCAAGTATGCTTTCAAACACCTGCCTGTGGTAGGCATGGGTGGGGGAGGGGCGAGGTGGTCATCACCAGGTTGCCCCTGTATCCAGGACAGTGACAAGGTACAGAAGCCCTCAGATGTCAGCTGAATGAATGCAGAGCGAATGTCTCCTCCTTTTAAAAATCACCTTAAACAATATCCATTGAATTAACGTATTTGAAAATTCAAAAGAGAGCCAGACAGAGATCTCCCATCCCCTGGTTCACTCCCCAGGTGTCTGCAGCAGTCGGACGAGGCTGAGGCCAAGACCACAGAATTCCGTCCAGGCTTCCCTCATGGGTGGCAGGGACCCACGTATCTGTGCCATCACCTGCTGCCTTGCGGGATGCACATCAGCAGGAAGCTGGCACTGGAAGCAGAGCTGGGGCTGGAACCCAGGTGCTCTGACACAGGACGCGGTGCCCTGGAGTCTCCTGAGTGCTGCACCAAATGCCGGCCCCTCGCAAGTCATCTAGGCGATCCAATTGCTCCGTCCTTGCTCAGTGGGTGTCGGAGAGCAGTCACGTCTCTGAACCCCCGTCCTCATGTGTGTAATGGGGCTGCACATCACACAGCCTCCTGAGCTGGGAAGGCCAATACGAGCTACTGTGTGATTCTGGACCTCGAGAAAGGACTCAGAAAGTCATTCCTACCTATTTGCCTTCATTCAGCAGGTAAGGAAACAGACTCCGGGGGTGGAAAGTGACTGCCAAGTGGTACAGCCAGGATTTGAACCTGGGTCTGGCTTCATCTAACTGCTCACGCTAAAATCAGGGGTGCCTCCTGCAAGGATGAGCTACAGGGATCAAAGTATTCTTGGGGCGTTGGGTTGGTCTGTTTTTATTTTAACAGACAGAGTGTTCCTACTGGACACCTGCACTGGGTACAAGAGAACCCCTCAGGACTTGGCCCACCCGGACAGAAGCAGGCACCGTCCCCCAGCACTCACGGTTTCATCCTGGCCTTCTCATCACTGGGGTTGTAATGGGGCAGCTGCACATCAAAAATCCTCTCCATGAGGAAGGTGGCGTAGGCGTGGAAGTCCAGCCTGGTGCGAGGCTCCCACACCACCGTGTCGTAGGAGTGCGGGTCCAGAAGGACGGTGACATACCTGCCTCCCACCAGCACCTGCGGAGAGCCAACAGTGCCAGAGGGAGGGGTGTCACTGTGAGCAACAGCCACTTTCACTGGTCATGCTCCCCACGGGCCAGACACAGAACAGACAGCACGGCCTTAGCTTCCCCTCTCCACCACCCTGCAGGGTAAGGACCATCACTTGCCCACTTATAGCTAAAAATGTGAGACTCAGAGAAGACCCCCAAGCTGAGAAGTGAGTGGCAAAGCAGCTGGCACCGGGTCTCAGTGCTTTACCAAACACTCCCTTTCAGGCGGCCACCTTGGTTGTCTTGGATGGATAGACAGACAGATAGATGGAAGGATGGATGGAAGTGACAGAAAGAAGGAAATGAGAGGAGAGGGGAGGGGAGAGAAAGGAGAGCAGAGAGGAGAACAGAGGGGTGGGAAGGGGAGAGGAGAGGAGACGAGCTGACTGGCTTCTCAGTAAACCCTGTGGGTACAATGACGAATGGGGGAGTGGAAAGATGGATCAATGAATCTATCTTGAATGGAAGGTGGGTGAGTGGGTAACTACAACTTGGTTAGGAACTGAATGTATGAATGAGTGTTCAGGACATGGATGACAGGTACTACGTCATCCTTGTCGAACCATCTGAAGGATGGATGGAAGTCAGAGGCTTGGGAAATGGAGGAAGGGGTGAGAGTTGTTTCAGTGGACATTGGGGGGATGTAGGGACAGAGTGGACAGACATCAGAGACTGAGTAACAGATACACGGGTGCATCCAACTGGATGGGTACTGGGTGCATGGTGGACAGAGGATATTGGATGAATAGAGAGCTGCTGGACCAGAGTCCAGGGAGATGGTGGATGGAGGTGTGATGGACCTGCAATGAATGAAGGAAGGAAGGATGCTGGGCAGATGCTGTGAAAGGGCCAGAGTGGAGGTTAGATGGACAGGTGGTTGTGGGACAGACAGGAGTTGAACAGCTGGATGGAGATGCACTGATTGGATGTCTAAGTCCCAGACAGACACTGAAGCAGGCATAGCTTGAAGTCATGAAGAGGACAGAGGAGTGTGCAGGGGACAGACACCGGGAAGCACTGGAGGTGCAGTGTGTAGAGACAGCAAGTTGGCTAGAGCAGGGGACGGAGGGAGGGCGGGCAGGCTGGTGCCCAGGCGGCTGCGCAAGGCCTCAGTGCACCTCCGCTGTGCGCCCAACTACTCCTTTCCCTCCCAACGAGGGGGCACACGCGGTACGTACAGTAAAGATGTCCCCATGCTTCTCCTTCATCCGTGCCAGGAAGCCGGCGGCATCCTTCCCGAACTCCAAGGCATGACCCAGCCAAGGAATGGTGCCGGTATCCAGAGGGGGCTCACCAGGTCGCCTGCGGAAGCCACAGTGGGGGTCACTACTTGATCAAGCAAGGAAGGGGAGGGCACGGCGGGAGGGGGCATCTGGGCAGCGGGAGCAGGGATGGCATCTCAGGAGCGTTTGCTGAAGAGGCTCAGTACGCGGTGCCTTGTTTCACAGCAACAAGAGTCACAAAATGCGCCAACTTGAGCACGTTTATACCGGACGCCACCCCAGGCCAAGCCTCATCCCACCCCACCCGCTGTGTGAGGGAGGGGCTGTTCAAGGACCACAAAGCAGGCCTTGTAATATGCATTCCCAGGGGACCCTAAACCCCAAGGTAAAACCCCAAGGTAAAACCCTTGGGTTTTTTTTTAATTATTTATTTTCATCTTATTTGAAATGCAGAGTCATACAAGGAGGGATCTTTCATCTGCTGGTTCACTCGCCAAATGCCCCCATCAGCCAGGACTGGGCCAGGCTAAGCCAGAAACCAAGGGCTCCCACTTGGGGTGGTGGGTCTCTGCTGCAGAGCCAGCACCTGCTCTTCCCAGGGTATGCACTATAGGAAGCTGGATCAGCAGCCAGGATGGGGGCATGAACCAGTCTTGCATTACAGGAAGCAGGGGTGCCCAGTGGTGTAGTAAGCCATTACACCCAACACCCACCCGAGACCCATGTTACTGTTGTGAGCTGTCAGAGCCTCGGGCATCTGCCGAATGACTGAGTCAGTGAGTCATCACAGGGCTTCTCACTACGAACTAGGTCACCACCGACCTGCCCCGGGAACGGGGAAGAGGGAAGGGAGCAAACAAGCAAACAAAAGCAAAAGAAAAGGTGCCAGTGTTGTGGCATAATGAGTAAAGCCATCATTGACAGTGCCGGCATTCCAGCTAGACTCTGGTTCAAGTCCCGGCTGCTTCACCGCCCACCAACCCCCCGTTGATGTGCCTGAGCAGGTAGCAAACAATGTTCCAAGTCCCTGGGCTCCTGAACCCATGTGGGAGACACGGAAGACGCTTCTGGCTCCTGGCTTCCACCTGGCCCTGCCCCAGCCATTGTGGCCATTTGGGAGTGAACCAGTGGATAGAAGATATCTTTCTTTGTATCTTTGCCTTTCAAATAAATAAAATAAATCTTATATATATAAAAAAAAACAAAACTCTGCCAGGGAGTGAAAACCACCATAAGAAAACATGGAAACTCAACCTCAAAAAGATAAACATCCCAAGTTAAAAATATACAGATTTGAACACTCTCCAAAGCAGATTCACAAACGGCCAATGCGAAGAGGTTCCAGCCGCTGGGGAAATGCGAACTCAAACCACAGTGAGGCGCCGCTTGCTCCGCGAGGGTGACCACGAGAAGTGAAAGTGCTGAGGAAAGAAGAGCGTGATGGCCAGGATGTGGAGCCCCCAGAACCCTGGACACCGCTGGGGGGTCTGTGGGACAGTGTGGCTGCCCGGGAGCCAGAGCGGCTGCTCCTCTAAGCCTGGATCCCTACCTGTAACCCCTGCCTCCCCGAGCAAAAGGACGGCAAACACAAGTCCTTGCACACAGCACTGCTCACACTGCGGCAGCATGCGGAGGAGCTGGACACGGACACAGCCACGCCCGACCTCAGGGCCACGGGTGCACACCCCACACCGCTGCGTGCTGCTCGCTCACCCAGAGAAACAAGGGCTGAGTCATACAAACCGCCCGACGCAGGAGCCAGACACAAGGGCTGCCCACGTGTGTGGCCTTTCTCCAGAGCAGACAGCAGCACAGACACGGGACAGTGGCACAGGCCTGCAGGGACAGGAGGAGAGGCGACAGAGAGGGACTGCTCTTGGGGAACGGCTTCTTTCAGGAGTGATGAAAAAACATTGTGGAATGAGAGCGACCTGATGTTTACACAACCCTGTGAATATGCTGAAAACCACAGCATCGCGCGCTTTCAAAAGAGCATTTTTGTTCAATATTTATTTGAAAGGCAAAGTTACAGAGTGAGGAGAGAGTTCCTCCCAGCCGCTGTTGCACGGCTTAAATGCCTGCAATAGGGTGAGGGTTAGGCCAAGAGACCTGGCACTCCATCCAGGTCTCCCATGTGGATGCCAGAGGCACAAGCACTTGGGCCATCTTCCATTTGTTTTCCTAGGCCCTAAGCAGGGAACTGGATCAGAAGTGAAACAGCCAGGACATGAACCAACTACCATTTTCAGTGCTGACATTGCAAGCAGCAGCTTAACCCACCACACCACAAAGCCCCAGTAGAGTGACCTATTAGACATGTAAATTCTATCTCATTGAATAAAAAAGAAGGGAGAGGTAAGACAGTGTGGGGGCTAATTTACAGAAGGTGGCCAAGGAGGGGCTCTGTGGGGTGAGAAGAGGGCATTCTGGGAAGAGTGAGGACATGATGGACAGTGGGGACAGCAAGTGCCAAGGCCCTTGGGCACCGATATATTTGGGGAGGATTTCAAGACAGCCTGAGTGGAGAATGTGGGGTTCAGGGGTGAGTGACAATGTTAGACGTAACCCCGTGGGCTACGAGGATCTGAAGGCCAAAGCGAGCGTTTTTGTGCCAAGCACGATGGAGGGGACTTGACAAAGAGACCATGCTGACCACCCAGAGTGCCACTGTGGAGGAAGCAGAGGCCCACACTGACCACCCCACACTGACCAGGCGTGGCACCCAACTCCCCCTTCCGAACTTGGGGGGCTTTGGCTCCTCAACCAGCACGGACTTCTCTTTCCCCAGCTCCCCCGTCACTGTGCCTCCTGCTCCCTTGGTGCCAGCCTGTGCAACATAAAGCAACTTCCTTGCAACTTTTCCGGGGCAGGAGAGGCTTTCTTTTTCCTGCCCTTTATCCCCAGGAGCCCATGTTATTTCTGGCAGCTTTCTCTTTCCCTGGCTAAATCCTGAGGAGATGCCAACAAAGGCAGGAAACTGGGAGCCAGGAGCCTGTCCCCCTATACTCCCACCCTTACCCTAATGGGGCTGGTGACTCCCTCCACCCCCTCAGCCCAGGTCCAGGCCACATTCCAGGGTGACTGCGTGGCGGCTAGCAGGCCCGGAGAAGGCTATTTCAGGGTCTGCGGTCTCCGGCCGACACTCTCACTTCTTGGGGCCCTGCCAGCTTAGGGTGGAGAGACGTCGGACTTGACCCAGGCACGCTCAGACATCTGTTTCAACTCTCCCCCTGGAGTTCAATCCCAGGGCCTGGAGTCCTCTTTGAAAAGCACCTACTTGCTATGCTCAGACCTCACCGCCAGCCCTGCCACCTGCTCTGTGCCGTTCTTCCTCCCAGTCCTCTGCAAACCCGAGGGCAGGGCCTTCCTGGAGGCTGCCAGGTCAGATGGGACGAGCCCGAGGCCACCATCGGAGCTCAGAGAGCAGCACCCGCTTCCAGGAGTCGGGAAGAGGATCACAGGAGCCGACTCCAGGCCACAGCACCTGCCACCCAGAGAGGTGGCACCCCTCAGCACTGCTGGTCAGTGGCAGGGGAGGGACGACTGTGCAGTCTTGCAACTCCACCACATTGAGCGAGGTCAGCCTAAGTTCCCACCCAACGCGCATTCCCCGGCCTTCCCCCAGGGCCTCCCACATCTGTCTCCCAGATTATAACCCATACAGCAGCTGGCAGCTGTGTTCCTCTGACCTGCTCATCCATGGTGCCAGCCCAATGCTCCCTTTCTGTGACAGAGGGGACCCGTAGTATGGCTTAGAAAGGGCACTGTCGGGCCCGGCGCAGTGGCTCAGTGGTTATGGTCCTCGCCTTGCACGCCCGGGATCCCATGTGGGCACCGGTTCTAATCCCGGCAGCCCCGCTTCCCTTCCAGCTTCCTGCCTGTGGCCTGGGAAAGCAGTCGAGGACGGCCCAAAGTTTTGGGACCCTGCACCCACGTGGGAGACCCGGAAGAGGCTCCTGGCTTCGGATCAGCATAGTATCGGCCCGTTGCGCTCACTTGGGGAGTGAATCATCGGACGGAAGATCTTCCTCTCTGTCTCTCCTCTCTGTATATCCGCCTTTCCAATAAAAACATAATAAAAATAAATCTTCAAAAAAAAAAAAAAGGGCATTGTCGTCTATGACCATATCACCTTGAACGCGCCCGATCTCGTCTGATCTCGGAAGCTAAGCAGGGTCGGCCCGAGAGGTGGAGTTGCAACGTGGTGGTTAGTACTTGGATGGGAGAAAGGGCATTGTCCCAGAGTCTGGGTTGTTAGAGTCTTCACGAGAAATCAGCAGTTCCTGTGTGTGGGATTCCCTAGTTTCCCCAACACGCTCCCCCCCCAGGGCGCAATCCCACTGTGGGTGGCCATCTATAACTGCCCCCTGTGCCCAAGAATTCCACATCCCACACAAGAGCCAACACTGCCCTGGAGTCCCCAGGCATTCTTACTTGATATCACTTCCAATTCTGGTCTCCCTGCAAAGGGGCCTTCAACCAGGGCACCCCTGCACCTGCCACGCAACAGCAAGGCATTCAGCAGCTGAGGGCTGGAGAGGCCAGCTCCAGGCCTAGGTGGGGAAACGCAAGGCCCAGCAAGCAAGAAGGATGCTTCTGACTCCCTCGTGGCCAAGCACTAGCCCCAGCAGCTCACAAGTCAGACTCCCAGCCCGCTTCCCTCTCCCAGGAGAAAGCAACTGCAGAACTGGACTGAGCAAGTTGTGCAGTAACCAGAATCCGGAATCCTAGAAACTTGGGTTCTCTATTATAATCATCATCATCATCATCGTTATTCTCAGGTAGGATATTCAGCAATGACAGAAGACATCTTTAAAACCTGCATTCACAACCGTCCAGTCACAGTATGGGAGCACGGGAGTCCTTATTTTTTGCATCCTTTTCTTGATAATTAAACTTTTTCACAGTTAAGAAAAAAAATCCACATTTTCAGTGTTGGAGGTAAAAAAAAAAAAAAAAACAATGGCGAGCTGGCAGAAGCAGTGTTGTCTCCAAGGACAAGCATGACTTTGCAAGTGGGCAAGATGTGAATATGACTCCTGAGGGACCATGGGCAAGACACTAAACCCTTCCAAGCCTTGGCTACACGAGGCGGGCGATGAGGTCACCCCAAGGCTTGGTCAAGGGAAAGGAATGAGCCGAGAGGTGGAACGCCTTGCTTGTCATGACCCAATCTGTGGTCAGCCTGTACGTAGCACCGGCGGGCACCTGCCTCGCTGGCCGACATTTGCTTTTCTCTCCTCCACAGGCTCCAGCTGGCAGTTCCAGCTCTTATTATTGAACATTTCAGGTTCTGTGGCCTTGGCGTGGTCAGAGCATTCATCTAAGGCGTGGAGAGAGTCAGGACACTGTTTGCTGGGAGTTAAGGATTCATCCTGGGGCCTGTAGTAGTGGTGAAGCGGGCTGGGCCACCACCTGTGATGCCAGCAGCCCAGTCAGGCACCAGTTCGAGTCCTGGCCGCTCCACTTCCAGGCCAGCTCCCTGCTAATGCCTGGGAAAGCCACAGGAGATATTGTAGGTCGTTTAGTCCCATCGCCCACAAGGAACCAGGCTCTAGCTCCGGCCTGGCTCAGACCTGGCTGGGTGATCATTTGGGGAGTGAACTAACAGATCAAAGATGTCTTTCTCCCCACCATTTGTCTTTCAAATAAATCTTGAAAAACCAGTTCTTGAAGTCCAGGGTTTGAATCCAGACAGACACTGAGCAGTGCCTGGCCTTTAGGAGCCAGGGTGACCAGAGACTACCCCGCCCCCACCCTCAAGCTGAGCTGGGGAAAGAAAATGAGATAATGGGGCCCCATGGAGTGCTCCTGAGTAGACAGAGCCTCCTCAAGCTTCTGGCACCCCATTCTCATGCTTATCCCCAATACTCACTTGCCGAGTTCCTAAGGCACTCAGTCCCAAAGACGAACTGGGTCAGCAGACCAGTCAATGGCATGAGCGAGCCAAAATAACATTAACTCTGCAAGGACCCCGTTTTGAACACCACGCAACTGAGGCAGAAACGGTTTCTCCACCTGTCCTAGGGGTCTCCACATGGCAAGAGCGCCCCCGTCCCCTGCCACCCACGGTCCAGTCACTGGCCACGCAGCCACCCCAGCCCCACGAGGGCAATGTAGGCCACAGCAGGGACGCTGGAAACAGCAGAAAGGTCAGTGATGGGGACATAAGTGAAAGGGGAAAAGAGAAATTTAACAATCTACTGAGGCTGTGGTGCGTCACCCAGATGACTAAAAGGGCAAACTCGGTCACTGGACATCAGAACTAAGACCTGCAGGAAACCGGCCACTAGCCTGGACACCCCTCTGCATGGTGTCCAGACCTGGGAGACAGCCCGTCCCTCCCCGGGACATGGCCCCGAGGCCGTTACCCCCTTCTCAGGCAGACGACGGAATGTCTGGTTTTAAATTTCACCCGAAAAGCGGGTGGCGGTGGTGGAGACACACAGTGAACGTATTGTTCGAAAACCCAACTGACGTGGTGTTTAGAAGCAAAAAGGCTCCCAGTGTCTCCAGATACATCCCCCCTCGAAATATGTGCGCGCCCCCTCTCTCTGTTACCCACAGTTTCATGTCTATAAATACATCTAGGAGCACTTTGAAAAACATCCGAGACAGAACACACACAGCAACAAAAGCAAGCAAGGGAAGCAGAAAGAAGATATTGATGGGAAACCCTTGAATTCCCATTCATGGGTGCTCCGAGAGCCAGCTCGCGGGGCAGCGGGACGGGGACTAATGCCCAGCGCACCCAGGAAGTGGGCGAGGGTGCCGCAGGAATGCTATGGGCTAACTTTGCAACTCTACTGTAAATTCCAAAGTAATCCAAAGTATATATATTTCAAAATCTGGCAAGTTCCACCCAAGCAGAGCCGTAGTCAGGCCAGGGAAGAAAGGAAGGGGACTGGAGCCAGCCAGGAGAGGCTCTTAATGCCAGTGGGACGAAGGGGTGTTTGAATTCAAATTCCACTATTCTACCCACAGTTTGGTTGTTTTTGAAAATCTTTATATAAGAAGAAAAAGACCTAGTGCTCTCTGAGGCATAAGAGTTTGCCAGTTTGTTCCAAAATCGCAACGGGCCCCATGGCGAGCCACGTGCAAGAGCTTGGGCTCCCAGGGCCTGGATGCTCCCATCTGTGTAATGGACAAAGCCACCACATAGGACTGCAGAAGGCAGGGCAGGACTGGATCCACGTGAAGCTTGCAGGTTCCACATGCTGTCCCTGCACCCACTCCTGACATCCACAGACTCTTACCGCCCAATTTCTTCTCCTCCCGCGGGTGTGTGTGTGTGTGTGTGTGTGTGTGTGTGTGGTGGCGGCGGACGGTTCCAGCCCTACGGGACTGACCCGTGTCCCCTTATCTTTCCGCACCCCTCCTTCCCACCCTGAGTCTCCCTGGCAGGGCAGCTCGGCACAGCCCCCTCCTCCGGGTGGGTCCCAGGCCTCCCGCGCCGAGGCGGACACTCACCGCGCGCGCCGGTGGCCCAGCAGTAGTAGCAGCAGCAGCGCCGCGGCCAGCAGGCCGAAGAGCAGCGCCCAGGGCATGGCAGCGGTGGACTTCCCGGCGGCAGCGCCGCGAGGGCCCCCAGGTAGCCCCGTGCGCCCCGCCCGCGCCCCGCCCCTGCCCGCCCCTCCGAGGTCCCCAGGGCTCGCCCCCACCCCCAGCAGGACCCCACCCCCGGGGCGGAGATGGAAAATGTGGGCCGCTGGGCGGGCGAGGGGAGCAGAGAAGGAGAGGCGGAGAGGGGAGGTGAGGGACGTGGCGGGACTGGGGGCGCCGGGGAGGAGAGGAGAGAGGGAAAATACAGGGGAGGGGCGGGAAGGAGGTCGGGGGAAGAGGGAAGGAATGGGGGAGGAGCTCAGGAGGGGCTTTGGCCCTAAGTCCAGCACGTCCCACCCTGGTGATCCCGCAGTTTCCGCCGCCACCGCGCTCCCATCCCCAGTCCCAGACCTGGGGCTGGGCGGGACTGGTGGCCGAGTTTGGAGCCTCTGTGGTCACAGCGCGGCCTCCCAAGGGCCGCTCAGGACTCACTGCCTCCGGCATCCTCAGCTGCTGTGAACCAGACCTCAGGATGTGGTGATTTTTGCCCAGTTCCAGGACTGTCTGTCCCCTTTCATCTTTCCATCCCTGGGGGCAGTTTTGGGCAGGTGCAGTTTCTGAGCCACTTCTTGCTGTGGAGCCCAGTGGGTGCAAGATGGCCTGCTGGAAGCCCCTGACTGCACGCTGTAGAGTGTGTGGAGTGCGGTGTGTGAAGCAATGGGCTGACCTTGGATCTGGGATGCAAGTGGCTTTGTGCTGGCTAGCCATCTTCCCGCTGCTACCCAGCTCAGCCTGTTTTCCCCACATTGGAGACCATAATGTTGGACTTCAAGTCAGATCCCACACTAAGCCCCGCTCAGTTCCTTTCCTGGCACAGCTCGCTCTGAGCAGCGCCAGAGTCCTTCCATGGTCCTACAAAGCCCATTGTGAACTTCCGCCAACCGGCTCCTTAAGTGCCTGCCCCTCGTCCCTCCTCCCCTCCCCTCTCTCATCCACCCAGCTTGCAGACATGGGGAACCCCCTGCCTCTCCCTGAGGTGCTCACCTGCTACCTCCCTCTAGGCCTTGGCACCTAGGCCTGGAATGTTCATCCTAGGGAGATGTCACCTCCTCGGGGTAGCTGTCCCTGGCCATCTGGCCAGCAGCGGCCAGCCCATGGCGGTCTCGCCTTGACCCATTTGTTTGGGGCTTGGTTCTGGCAGGGTTCCCGTGTTCTGCTATCGTGGCGCTGGAGGCCATTTGTTTGCCTGTTTAATCTCGCCTGTCAAGACAGCCGGCTGACCCCCGTGTGGCCTTGGGAGATTCAAAGGAAGTAGAGGCAAAAGGAGTGTTCTCAAGTCCTTGTTTATTTATCCAGCTTAGCCACCTCCGGCGAAGCCAACAAGCCCAAAAAGGCTGCACAACAGGCCCGGAGGGTTTTCTCCAAATTTGGGAGCTCCACGGGGCTGCTTTCTGGCAGTGGGAGCCAAGGTCCAGCCCGGCTGGCACATGGCCTCTGCAGCCTGGACCTCCTCCCAGGTAGCTCTAGAGTGGAGGTGAGGGAATGTGTTACAATCCCAGGAGCTGGCAAAGACTTTGAGTACCCAGGGAAGGCTTCCTGCTGGGAATCTCCCCCCAGTTCTGCTGCTCCCCAAATCTGCCTGTTGCATGCTTCGTCTCGGTGTTCTCATTTGAGAAATAGGAAGAGCTGTTCCTTCCTCCCCGGGTTTCTGTAAGGACTGAGCAAGACAGGAGAAAGACACTACCCTGCCCCGGGCTTGGCACACAGCAAGGTGTGGAGCAAAATGTTACCATTCTGTCATGCATCCCTGGCTCCAGGACAGCCTCCCGTCACCTGAGTCCACATCTCTTCGGATTCCATCTGCCCACCTTCGCCAACTGGAGATGCAGCGGCTCACAGAAAGAGAAGTGCGTAATGCCCACAGCCTCTCCTTGGCCCACAGGACCCAATGCCCTCAGAACCAGCAGGTGTGTAAGACAGCCGCCTGCCTGCAGCCCAGGACCAACCCTGCATGGGGATGGGCCCCGCAGGGACGGCCCCTTTGCCGGTGGCTTGTCCAGAGGTGAGCACCTCTAGACATCTCCTGAGGACTTCTCAACAACCTTCCTCCTCCCTGTGTACCACCTCTTCTGCTCCAGGCACTACTGTGGGAGGGTATGATGGGGGTTGGGCTGGTGGTGCCCCAGGGAAGGCTGGGAAAAGTAGAGAGAGCTGCAGTGACCAGTCCTGGCCCAGGAGCTCCAACAGGATCCAGCAGAGGTTGGGACTGGTGGAGGTTCCCCCAAGGCTGAACTTACTCTGACCCATGGGAAGAAGGCTGGGGTACACTGGAGAGTCAAGTTCAAATGTGACTGTTGATGCCTCATTTCCACATAACCCCAAGCAAGTCACTTCATTTTTCTGGGCCTCAGTCATTGCATCTGGGAAAGGGACACATTGCTGGCGGTGGTGATGGGAGGGACACCCGGTGAGGTTCCAATGAGAGTATCTACACCTCCGTTTGGAGAATGGACCCTCACATTGGATAGCCTAATTGGAGAGAGGCTGCTGCTGGAGGATGCTGGGGTATCCAGATGGGTACAGCCCAGCAAAGATAGAATCTGTGGAGCTTGCCCACTCCATCCAACCTCTGCTCCCTCATCAGGGCTGTAGTGGGGTCAGAACCCAGGGATTTGGCCTAGAAAGTGCAGTCCTGTCCACCCCTGCCCTCCAGGGCTCAGGCTGGCTTTGGGTCTTCGTCCCACAGGCTACGGTTGAAAAGCAAGATGTGATGAGTGTTTAAATGTTTTTTTTTTTTTTTTTTGTAATTTTAGCTCTAACTTTAGCTGACAACGTAAACCACTTAGAACTTTATCAGAATAATTTTTAAAATTTGTGCTAAGACTGTAGAATGGGTTTCATATTAGTCCCAGTGGTGAAACTGTGGCCCAGAAAAGGATCAGTAGTTCGCTCGAGGCTCAAGGTCACGAGGCTCTAGGCTGACGCCTGGAATGTGGTATGCCCTTGTGCTACAAGAACATCCAAGCCTGGCTAGGCAGCGGCGTAGACCCCAGGAGGCAGTGGTGATGGCTCAAGGAACTACCCACAACACGGGAGCCCTGAATTGATTGCCAGCTCCGAGTTTTGATGTGGTTCAGCCCCTCGCACCACCAGCCCTTGGGAAGTAAGGCGGTGGATGTAAGTTCTGTCTCTTTCTGTCTCTTCTCTGCCTCTGTCTCTGAAATTGACTTCAACAACATTACTTCTTCCAAAATGAGCCCATTGTAATCAGTGATGTATGATCCTGGGGTTTGATGCACTGGGCATGTGTACAATAGACATGTTACTCTGGTAACCCCTAAGCATTCAGGACAAGCTGCTGCCACAGCAAAGGGTTAGCTCCCCTTGGTTTGCACAGACTTCCCTGGGCTCAGCACCAAAGGTCCCATGACCCAGGAAGGTTGGTCACCCTGTCCAGGCACACCTGCCACCTGCTATGTGCAAGAGGCTGAGGCTGGCCAGAGACTGGATCAGAGCTGGGGGACAGCGAGGGGAGGCTACCCTGTCAGAATCCCACAAGAGTCATGGCTGAGTTGCACGACGCTGTGGGAGGTTGGCTCAGGGTCTCTGATTCCCACGACCCCCTGTAGTGGGACTGGGTGGGGCACTCTGTCACATGACCACAAGGCTGCCCAGCATGGCCAGCAAGTGTCTGCCCAGCACAGCCATGGTAGACAAGGGGATGTTCCTTGATTAGCCTGTGGATCTTGAAGTCATGAACAAATGCCGCGATTGCAAGGGAAGCTCATTGCTGTGGCTTGAACGAATCCTCCGAAGTGCAGATGCTGCCAATGAGGTGGCATCGAGTGGTGGGATCTGCAGGAAGTGCCCAGGTCCCATGGCTCTTCTCGTCCCTAAAGGTTCAAGGCCCTTATCAAGGAGGCTGAGCCTCTCCTGGCTTTCTGCCTTCTGCCACATGGGCACACAGCAAGGAGGTCCTCGCTGGACCCACCTTCCTGGCACCTTGACCTTGGACTCCAGGGCACCCATAACTGTGACGAAGCACATCCCTTGTACTTTGTTAACTTCCGGGTCTCAGGTGTCTGTTCCAACAATACAGAATAGACCAGGAAACAGGTTCCTTGCTGACCCTCTGGGTTTCTACTGTGAGCCCTGATAGAACCTGAACTCCACAGGCAGCCCAGAACAGCCAACCCCACCTGGACCAAGGCCTCAGAGCAGGGAGGATGTGGGTTTAGCAGTTAGGAGCTAAGAGGATGGGGAGAATCTGCTAATGCAGCTGAAACGGCTGGTGGGGAGTCCTTCTGGGCTGGATATACTTTGCACAGGCCAAGGGTGGCACAGGCACAGCCCCCTTCTACTTTGAAAGTCTCAATATTCTCATCTCCTGTGTGAGAGGAGAATGACATGACACCTTGCCCATGGCAACGGGGGGATGGGAAGGCCCAAGAGGTCATGTGCCTAGAACATGCAGTGGACGCTTTTCTCAGCACACTGGCCAGGTACTTCCTTAAGGGTACCGGGCTAACCACTCGGTTGAGGATTTATAAGCAGGAGAAAATAGATAGCGCTTCTCCCTTGGTGACAAGAGCATGCCGGGGTCGGGCAGCGGGGAGCTCCTGGGTGGCCCCAAGGCCTTGGTGCTGCTGTTGGGCTCTGTGCACAGGGACACAGCTGGGTGCTGGGACGGCCAAGAGCTTTCCTGACTGAGGACTTCAGCCACAGCCTCCTCCCAGAAGAGCTGGATTATGCAGGGATTGTGGTCGGCCTGGAGCCCAGAGCCTGGGGCAGCTACCCAAAATGCACACAGGCTTGGGCTGGGCAGCCTTTGGCTCCACTTTTCCAGGCTAATTCCACTCAGGCCAGGCCAGCGGGTGATATGTGGGAGTGCGCTTTCTCCTCTTTCCAGGCTACCTGCCGGGGACGAGGGTGGGGTGGCAGGGTTTGGAACATATAGGAGCTCTGCTAAGTCTCCCTGTCTTGATTTTCCCGGGACTGGAGGTGCCCCAGC